TTAGGATCGTCTTAAATTTCTCTCACTCCTGTAAACACGTGATCATCATGCCTGAAGCTTCTACCAAGAACATAGAGTTAATGGATTAATAGGCAGTTATGTGATATGTATGACATTTTCCATCTATTCCTGATGATTCGTCATCTACGTTAAGATAAAAATCAACACAATCTGATAAGAAAAGAATGGTTCTTGCCATATCGGATGTAGGTAAACCCTCAAAACCTGTCATCCAAGATGCAATCTCGAGTTTCATCCTACTGTTCAAGGCTGGAGTAGAGCGCCAAAACATTCATATCCTAATCGACTCAAATCAATATTTCAGACAAGCCTCAGTCTGCATGTTTTCAACTTAGGCCTATAAAACGCTGTTTATCCTGCAATTAGATTCCGGCGACTTTTAGTAATGCCTTTCCTACCGGGAGTCGTATAATTGATATCCCGTAATTGTTAAGGCGGTTGCGTCTTCGAGTTTCCCCTCACTCCTCCTACATCTTGTTTTGAAATCGATTTTCTTTTTCTTCAGAATCAAAATATATGTGTATACAAAAACTTATCTTTAGCATGAATAATTGCAAAGAAATACAATCTGGCTTGTTCTCTGACGTCATCAAATGCAGGGTAGGTTCTTTGGGTGTGTTGTTATTTCTTTATAGTATCACTACTCAGAGTTCCCCCCAAACGCTAGTAATGCCCCGTCAATTTTCATTTATTTATGAATAGCTCAATCGATATTTTCAATCAATATACGTCCTCAACAAATATTAGGTTCATTTAGTAACTGACCACACTAATGATTGCCGTCCAATTATCTTGTAAGCATATTTAATAGTGCCACGTACATAAACATATTTACATTTTTCCCGTAAAGGTCTCCTATTTTTAGCTGGATAAATAATGGCATACATTCGTCAAATCTTCGATTTGACACGGTTTTTACGCTGGGTGTAAATAAAAATGTTTTTTCTACCCTCCTTCGATGACCCAGTGTTTGTTTCTCCGGGAGCCGGGGGTGTTTGATTATGCTGGCTCATTTATTAGACGGGTTTGAGTGGCGGGAAAATGCGGTTCGATTTTGCCGTCTGTCACAGAAATTGGGACGGTCAAAAAGGATGTCACTTAACCGCAGTCTTATCAAACAAATTTTTTGTCTAATACTTGTAAGAGAAAGAAGGTTAGGGTGCGAGTTTGAGAAGGAGATAGAGAGAGAGAGAGAGAGAGAGATTGCGAGAAATTAGATACAGTCTGGGCTTAACTAGTATTATAGACCAGTACGACATTCGACCACTGGCCAATCGTTTTGTTTGGGGCGACCCTTTCTATGTAAGTTGTTTGTGCAACATGTATAAGGACATAATCGCAATGACGCGTCCGCATAATTTCCACCCACATCCAAACACACGCACACCCACAAAGAATACGCACACCCATTAACATGTATGAATTATACAGATGAACAAAGACACGCCCGATACACACGCGCATAAAATGTTTAATGAGGCAGTGGTAGTGAGATTATCGGAGATAAATCTTTCAAAAAATGAAGGGGAGGCATTAGAGGAAAACATATTTTTACCCCCCAAAATGAGCACTTTATTTTTCCTGAAGTGACATGTAATCTCCCACTTCAGATTCAAATTAAAATACTCCGGTCGATTTTTTTTTGCTTTACTTACGACCTTCTCACATATCAATATAAATACCCCAATAAAATGTTGTCTTTGCTTTTGAAGACACGCTGTGCTGATTTGTTAAAGAGAAATGTAGTCTCAGACATACCCCCGAAATTGTTCGCTTTACGCTTATCCCATCAATAGAATACCCCAGAAATGTTGGTATGGCTTTCAAACAGGCCTTGTGCTTATTTTTTAGGCAAAAGTAGTCTCTGACTTACCCTGGGTTGTGCGTTTTGGGTTCGCTTATATTAAGGCAAATCTGCTACGGCACTGTCCTCATTAAGGGTTCTGGATACACCCCTCATTACATGCAATGCATTAACTAGACACAGGCTGGCTTCTTATCTTCGCTTGATGTCCTCCGTGCATCGTACCGTGAACGATGTCCTAAGGGAGGAACGGTCGAGACAGACACCAAACCCCTAACTAGCGCCAAATTGATGACCGATTGAGCCGAGCAGCATTAATCAAATCAGAACCCCGTAATTGATCATGTAACGATGAAATCATTAACGTTAGCGGACTAGGCGTGCATTCGTAATAATGGCCTAGCTCCAGCCCCGTGGCGTCGGCGAGCGCGGGGGTCTACACAGCTAGTTACCATGGGTAATGCACCGTTATCGAGTTATCATTAATTGAGCATGTCAAACAGAAAATAAACACAGAGTTTTCATTCCATTATATCAATCAGTGAAAAGTAAATACTTAATTCTAGTCATTGAGATATTAAAACACTAAACAAACCGACTTTTTAGTATATACATATTTATATAAATTATTATAGGCTGCCTAATGCGAATAGAATCGATTGTTCATCCGATCGGTCTATTTTAACATTTCATACATATACGGCTAAATTCTGAGTGAGTGGATGGAAGAGTGTGAGGGGAAAAATATCGACACCCACCTTCTCATATATATAATATATGTTTACCTTGATTATATCCATAAATGAACTGAGATCTGGATGAAACTAATTCTTGATGTTTACCACTCAATTTCATAGTAAAGGTAAAAATAAAGGAAATTCGTCATGGCTAATTCGCTCAAGAAACCTCATTGCTCCTTATTCAATTTCTGAGAAAATGCTTGGCCAAGCTAAAGCTACTTATATTTAGAATTACTTTAGCACTTATCTTGTTTGTTTTTTTAACTCAAAGAATTAGGGAGGTGGGGGGGGGGGAGGGGAAAAGGAAGATGTATTGTGGTTGCATTGCGGATGTTTGTTGGTATTCGTTGATGTTTTGACCATGACATAAAAGCAGACATGTCTTGTCATAAAAGCCGGTTAATTATTCTCACATATATTATAGTGAAATTTGTGAGCAACATTTGAAAAGCTGAATATTTTATCAATAACAATTACCTCTCTTAATTGTCAAACAAGTGTGTTTACGAAGGAGTTGCTCCTGCTTGTTTGTAAACCTGAATGTAAACTAAGTGATCGACCTATTTTGCTACCTGCCTAAATCGTGTTGAATTTAATACCTAGTTATCGTTTCCGGAATCCCTACAGCTCCCATCACTCGCTAAAAACTCCAGGCCTTTCCGATCACCTAATCTTTAGCGATCACATGTTAGCCGATACACACGTTCCGGTATATCGGATGTAGGGGAATCGATAGTGATGTAGAGTGGAGTGTGTTTATAGTCTTGTTTGGGGAAAGAATCGAGTTTCCTTACCGTCCAGACACAAAGAACATCTAAAGAACTCCGAATAAATGTCTGCAGGTATACTGGCGACATGAGGTAAACATAACGACCTTTTACAATGAGTGAGAGCATGGAGAGAGTATGACCAAATCTGGATCTAGATGCATTCGCAGTGCGCAGTTTGTACCACAGGGTGACTAGAGTGTGGCCACAAAGTTACTTCATAGTATTGACGCTAAAAACACTTTTGAATGATATAGGATGGCTAAAACGCAAGATATGGTTAAATCATTTAAATATGTACTACTACACTGTTAGAAAAAAATTAAACAAGTTGTTTAAAATTTTAAACAACCCCGAGTTAACCGGTGAATCGCTCAACGTTGTTTAAAAATTAAACAAATTAAGGTTGTTTATATTTTGAACACTTAGTTGTTTAAAAATTAGGAAACCTTTTAAACAACAGTTGTTTAGTAATAAAATTGCACAACTCGGTTGTTTAAAGCAAGTTGTTTAAATTTTAAACAATAATGTTTAAATTACTAAGCAACTGTTGTTTATTCAGTATTACTGCACAACTGGGTTGTTTAAAAGGAGTTGCTTAAATTTTAAACAGAACTGTTTAATGGTTATTATCTGGTTGTTTGAATTTGTGAAATGACCTACTGGAACCACTCCTGCAATAATCACAACGATTTATACACTGTAACATGGAGAGCTTGTTGCCAATTTACTTCAACATTTGTTCATCATATTCATGGCAGTGACAGACAACATTATTATTTGTCTCTATAACTTCACCTAAACCCCATCGGCGAAGCCGAGAAGAACCAAGTCGTCGCCTTGCCCTTGTTCCGCCATTTTCGTATGCACTTGCACTGCACACTAGCACAGCATGCTTGCATGCATGTATTATGTACGTACTTTGTGCATATCGCATGTGTGTGCGCAAATTGCAATCGCGTATCGAGAAAATATCAGCGACACCCCCGGGACTTTTTAAACAACTCTGTTTAATTAATATTTTTGTCTTTTAATACATGGTTGTTTAAGTCAATCGAGCACTGATTTTTCGATTTTGAACAACGTTGTTTACTTTTTTAAACAACATTCTTTTAAACAGTGATATTTTAAACACCGTTCTAACAGTGTAACAGCATCTAGAAGGATTCCTAAAAGTAAGGTCAAACAATCAAAGATCACCCGCCATTATTAGATTTCCAAGAAAGAGGTCAGGCTTTGATTAACATAAAATTTGTTTTGTAAATACTGTAAATTGAATAAATCGAAGTAAGTTATGAATATATTTGTATGTTATTAAATTCTGTATATTACCTAATCATGTTCATGGAAGTATCCTCGATTAGCGTTATCCTACTGTATTTATAATTCCTTTTACCGCAATAGACTCTTAAAAATTATATTTAGGGTTAAGGTATATATTTAATATTGGCTTAGGGAAAAGTAATCAATTTGACCTTTTTTTTTGTTGGGGGGGGGGGGGGGCGGTAGGACTAATCTAAAGTTCTTCAACAATATCAAAAACTGGTAAATTACTGTAAACTGCATTTCATTTAAGTACACAAGTACACAGTGTATACAGCAGAGAGAATTATGCGGGAAGGTTTTTTAACGTGACGAAACGAAACATGTAAAGATGAGTGTGCTTACCATAATTAAGGATTTAAGTGTGTTTCGGAGTGCTGCGTCTCTCTTTTGGAATGCGCCTTCTGCCGTTTCCCTCTCATCAAGCATGTTCATATCGAAGGCTCGCGCATGCGTACCCCTGCTCTGTAATAGTAAGACCAAGCACGCAGTTGCCAATGTGAGGAGCAATACCGATCCGGACTTCATGATGGATGAATGTGTGAGGTGTGTGTGGGTGTGTGGGTGAGGGAGTGAAGCGAACAGGAAATTTCCCGGCCCTTTCTCTTCCAGTTGTCTTCTTGAGGATCCTGTTTTTCTGAAAGAAATAGTAAAAACAAATACAATTTAAAATTACATTCATCTGATATATCACCAAACTAAGTTTTTAAAAGATTTAAGCGTTCATGTGCAATATTTATAATTATAAACAACCAATCCGTAACATTGTACATGAAATGTCTAGCCCACATGTCCGCACGTACGTCATCAAAGGGACGGATCGAGTAATGACTGAAATATTGGTGTGTTTTTTAAATTTTCCCCACAACATTATTTTCAAAAATCTCACCAGTCCCCCCCCCCCAATTTGTCATCTTGATTTAGGAGCAATTTCTTTCAACATGACTGCCTTAAAAAAGGAGGGAGTAACCCCATTGGCACCTCTGGACCCATCTTACTTTCGTCGATTTGTCTGGATACTCCACACCTTTTAATCACAGCAGAACACCTATCACTGCAGCTTACAACAACCATTATTATCGTTTGTATGCTTCCGAAGATCGTGCTTCTTTGGTTTTAATGAGAAGAATAACTAAATCTCAATTTCCAATCAGCTGGGAATCTAACTCTCTCTGGTGAAACATATATACGGATATGTTTGCTTGGAATAAAGGGGTTTAAAGAATGAGGCGTTATGCAACATGAGAAGATACAAAATGAGGACACGTGGCCTGATTTTCCGTGTAAACTCAATGCGGTTTAGGGAGATGATGAAGGATGATTGATACAGACAAGACTGGCGGGTAAAGCAAGGGTGACAGAGGAAGACTTGGGAGAGAGAGAAAGAGAAAGAGAGAGATAAAGAGAGAGAGAGAGAGAGAGAGAGAGAGAGAGAGAGAGAGGAGTGAGGAGGAGGGAGGAGAAGGGGGAGAAGTTGACATATTTATTTGAAGATACAAACTGTATATGGAAACGGGAGAGATAGAGTGTGGTGTTGTAAACGTGTGTGCGTATGTCGAGGCAGACGAGAGATACGTGTGGCATCGGCAGAAAAACAGAAATAAGAAGCCAATATAAAAGTGTCTTTACGGGGAGTGAAGAGGGGCTTGTCAAGAGAGCAGTAAAGACAGTAGAAACAAAAGAAAGAGAGAGAAAAAGAGAGACAGAGAGAGACAGATGATACCGAGATAAAGAAACGAAACAGGAACAACTTCTCCCTTCATTGACGACCAAGATTTAGGTACAGATAGTACAAAAAGATAGGGTATTTTGGTTTGCCTTCCTTTCTAACTATTTAGGTTACATATGACAATTGATATGGCAAAATATGCCTCAGCCCAATCTCGATTGAGATGAGATATCTCAGAGTGGTCGGTCTTTAATACATTCATTGATAGAAATCTCCCCCAGTCAGAGAAGCCTCTACATTTGAAGTAAACAGGAGCATGGATATACATGTATTTCAAAAATAATCGTCAGTATGCTTTGCGTCACGTAAATGTGCAGATCCATTCTCGCAAAATTTGTTCTCACTGGACTTCTATTCTTACAATGTATACTTATTCGCAAGCTACTCGAAAGAGTGAGTTAGAATGTTACGAAAAGGTGTCATTCTTAACCACTTCTTGCCCCCTTTATTTAACACCTTTTAACACAGAGTGTCATATCGCTTAAGAAATACACATTTTCCATTTGTTTGTCATTCATGCCTCCAAGGAAAAGATTCATTCTAAACAGCAGTAGTTACTCTGTTGCATGTCAATGCGTGAGTGTTATTGAATGAGGAGACATGTGTTTCGAGAATTGCATCACCGAATCAATCTTCTCTCTGCACGTGCTACTAAGACCTTTCTTTTGTAAACATGCTTGAAGCAGAGAGAGGGTAGAGCGTTTCGAGGTTTGAGCTGGGTTAAAAGGTTTCATTCACATACGAATGGAGAAGCAAAACACGAAACAAAAAACATCAACGACTGCAAGCCCAAGTTCAAACGCATCGTATAATACTAGGATACATACAATGGAAGCAGAGTTAATTTTCTGTACTCGATACACAGTCTTCATTGGTGAAGTATTATAAAAAGCAGTCAATATTGTGATTTCTCTATTTGTAACATGTTATTTTATGGCACATCTTTATATACGTAAATATTACATAGGCCTATGTAATCAATATAGAGTTGGTTCGAAGTCTCTCTGCGTTATCTTTTTATTAGATTAAACCATACCTTGTACCTATTATTAGCTCTATAATCAGTTTGAATTATTTCACTCTCTTTTTCGAGATCGATATGCCTAAGGTTTCTATCGTAAAGGAAAGCACAAGACGAAGCGATAACAACCAACAGCAACATGGACACTTCTTCAGCTACACTCATCTTTGACTCTCCGATGACCGCTTGCGTTCAGTTTTTACGGTTGACGTGATTATTTGGTAACGAATACACGCCAATGAAATGATAACCTTGTCCTTTATAAGCTAACGACATTAAGGAACACACAGCATATTACAACTTTAACAAGACTGTACACTCTGAGGTGAAATCACTGAGACTATCTTTAAATAAGAGCAATTGACCAAAATGATAATACACCATTAAATATCGTTAAAAAGATAAGTTATGATGACGTAAAGTCTAATTCCCTTCATATATCTGTATTTACCCTGCTGAAAAGAACACACTCATTCACACTCATTCACAGTGTGAATCATGTTATTCACACTGTGAATGAGTGTGAATGAGTGTGTTCTTTCCTTTTCTGGTTATGCACACTGTGAACCACAGAGTGAAACGCCCAAATTTAACATTGTGGAGCACACTGTGATTCACAGTGTGAAACACAGTGTGATTCACACTGTGAATGAGTGTGAATGAGTGTGTTCTTTCCAGCATGGTAAATACACAGAGCTCAGTGAAATCGCGCATGCGTACTTTGTTACGCACAGTTGCCATTTGTTTACACGTAAAAAAAAACGTGGTGGCTTTTTGCGGCGGTCTATACCTCGCCACATCTGAACAGGAATTAACAATACAAGCCCTTTCCTCTTATCTGGACTCCCTGGTAATGACTGAAAGTAACAAACTCCGAAAAAATCAAACTATTCATACACTGCATGTTCTAGACTTCATCTGAGGAATAATTTCTTCTTTGGAAGTAAAGCAATAGCAAAATGATGAGTACATGTATAACTATTTTGTGTAAGTAAAATGAGCTAATTAAACGTCCAAGCTCTCTGCAGAAGATGAACTCTTATATGAAAAAATAGGAGTTAGGCTTTCCATTGGAAAGGGATTTCAAGCAACTTTTATTTATTTTCTTCTTTTTTCATTCTGCTACCATAATTACCCAAACTCAAAATTAGCTGCAAGTGGATTTTTTTGTCACACTTGTCTCTTTAAAATGTATCTACATGCTAATCATTTTCCTGCTTGTATTATTTTATTTCGCCACGTATGGTCATGATGATGCTTTTTTAAAAATAGGTCATCTCTAAAATATTTGGAGAAGATATATCTCTACATGGTATAAAGGAACTATTCCAGGGCCAAATATCTTGATCATAGCGCAGATCAGTATAAGTACTGGGATTAGGTAGGCTTTTAAATCTATATTCATTCGACTTGGTATTTACTCTTTACTTTATGCCAAATTGACATTTTCGTAGTAACATGTGAAAACGAAACACTATGCGGGTAATTTAAATGTTAATCAGGGGAGATCAAGCGTGATTTAGAAAATGAGAAGAAAAATCATTATTGGTGAGAATTTGGGGGTGTATTAAGACAGCTTCTAAATAATGAGAGATTCATATTCGATGGAAAATTCGCCGATCGATGAAAGGGATGGTTATATATATATATATATGGTAAAAATGAAGTGACTAGAAACTATTTTCATTGAAATAATGTGATATAACAAAATGTCAAGTTTGACACAAGTTTCGCTGCATATAAGTTTTTTTCCCACTGACGAAGTCCGGTGTATTGAAATATGCCGCATCGCAATTGTCGTTAAAAATCATGCTCATTCTTGTAACAAATGGAAGATCTCCTCGACAAAGCATGCAGCCGGATAAAAAGGTTACTTCTACTTTCTAAACAAGGCTTCCAGACCATTGTTCAAAATGGTGTGGATGTGAAAAAAGGGTGCGGAAAGTGGTTCTTTTTCTTCTTCAACCTGTCACCTTTTGATGAACCTATTTCAAATAATTTATCCTTTACCTCTTTCTAACCGCCCTCTTCGAGAGAAAGAGAGAGAGAGAGAGAGAGAGAGAGAGAGGGGGGGGGGGGGAGGGAGAGAGTGACATAGAGGGAGGGACGGAGAGAGAGGGGGAGAGAGAGAGAGAGAGAGAGAGAGAAAGAAATCCGAAGTGAAACCCGAAGGCGAATGCTATCTACCAAGTTCCCCTTATAAACTTCAGTCACACATGCAAACCTACACTATATAACTGTGTATTATGCCTAGGTCACACTGCCAAACTGACTCTACTCCTACTCCACATCGACTTCATACCGACTTCATACCGACTCCACACCGACTTCATACCGACTCCACACCGACTTTATACCGAATCCACACCGACTTCATACCGACTTCATACCGATTCCACACCGACTTCATACCGACTCCACACCGACTTCATACCGACTCCAAATCGACCGGTTCTTGACCATTTGTCGTAATGTAAAATTCTTGTTTTGTGTGTTCTCAGTCTGGTGTCGTTCTGGTTGGTGTGCCTTAGTGTGAATGGGGGTATTCGGAGATTTCACGCTAATCTATTTCATAAATATTACACTCCAGACCATATTTTGTATGCATCGCTTAACAAACACCATAACAAGTTCGGCATGAAAGATTCATCACTGTAATTGTGCATGCATCTCGTAATGGTATTCTTGGAAAAGGTCTTTCATCTCGATGTTTTGCTGCAATGACGTATTTCACACATCTCATCTCAGGATTTAAAAGGGAATCTCATCCTTACAGTAAACTAAGTTCAAAGAAAGTATCGAAGAGATGTAAATGTAAATTTGATATTCAATGTTTCTTTTTACAGGAGATTATTTTGGGAAGTTTTTGAAAATACTTTAAGGCA